TGTTTAGGCGAATACTGCACCGCTACGTCCTTCTGGGATATTGCATCTCCCGTAAGATCGGATAAGCCCCCGCATTCATTCGTTGATGGGCATTGAATGGGGCGGTGACCGACGTTACCCAGTTTTTGTAGCCTAGCCGTTTTTCGTGCTCGGCCTAGTTTACGTTTCGTACAATAATGAAATGCGCCCGGCCGATGACATTTCGCAATCGGAAGGACAGGAAGGAGGAAAATTTCGCCGCCGCATGTTTTCATCGTCGCTGTCCATTTTCAATAATAATAATGCCGTTTTCAATGTATTTACCGGACGATTTACGTTATAGAAACTATTTATGTATATTTTACTGATTTCTCGCGTATCTTTCCACTTTGGAATTTTCATCGTCTTTCAATGCGTTTCCGTAGATTTTTCTGCGTTTTCTGTGTGATATATTATCTGCCGCAGGCCCCTCGAGTTTTGGAAATCCTCAACATTTTACTTCTTCCTTAGTTACAGTCTTAGCTCCATGCTTTTCACTGTTATTCTACGAAGGAAGCGCTAAAATCTCTATGGGGCCGGGATTTTCATTTAGAGAAATCATCGTATAGTCTCATCAGCGTAACGAGCGAATATGGCCGCCTCCGGCGGCCATTTCGCGAGTGATGATAAAATTAATAAAATCAAAATTATGTAAACAAATAATATATGCATTTAATTTGTAATTTGTATGTTCTGTAGTTTGCAAATGACGAGCGTTTCCATGCACGCCTTTACCCCCGTGCTTATTTAGAACTATTAATATTATTACGTATGAATACGATCTATATTAGCTCTCCATGGTTTTTGTCTTACTCTTGTCCATACGTGTCTATCCTAGATATTACATTTATCGGAAATCTTCATAAATCTTTATTATTCTGTACTTTCAATAGTTCGAAAACTAAGAAAGTTGAGGGTAAACTCGGTGCAATTAGGGAAGATGAAGAAACATGAGGAGGTGGTGAGGGTAAAGGAACGGGGGTGTGATGCTGCGATAGCTTTTACATCATGCATGGTGTATAGGTTCTTCTTCCACAGCACCTCTACTTTTTCCCAGTTCTCAACCCTCCTTTGCGCGTACCTTCTCCCCATCCTTTACCTGTTCAAGTTCCACCGCACCCCTTCTTCAGCCTGTCTACTCTCTTCCATTTATTAATTGCCATCTCCCATTTCCCGTTTCTTTGCCTTCTTACATCCTCTCCATCTTCTACCTTATCGTCTCTTTCACCTCACACGGTTTGCCTTTATCGCCTTTCCCATGATTTAGCCTCATTCTCCTTAATATTTACCGATGATCTACCTTATCTCCTCCTCCACACACTTCCGGCTTCTTTATTTCCCCATATACATTGTCCCTCGTTTACTACTCTACCTCCATCCTCTCCACAGGCACTTGGAGCGTTTCAATAAAATAGAATGCTAAATAAATACGAAATTTATTTACTACCAAAGTCTTGACATTGGTATATTAAGACTGGTAGCAAATAGATTTCGTATTTATTAGCTTAGTTGACGAAGTCAGATGCAGCTTGTAGAATTGCATGATTGTCCGTCCGTCCGTGCGTCCGTCAACAGTTGGGCACAAATCTTCAGTAACCGCTCGACGTACGGTCTTGATATTCGGGACGTCGGGGGGGGGGATCACGAAAAGGACTGGGGATGTCGAATTTGGGGATCAAGGGTCAAAGGTCGAGATGTGTCAATGGAGGGGGAATATTTCTCCCTTAACTTAAGGTATAGGAGGAAATACGGAATTGCGGCACAAATCTCAACGGCTTGACCTACGCTCTTAATATTCGGTGTATAGTGTGATGGCGAGGAAACCCATCACCAGTGCGAAATTGGAGGTCTCATGTCAAAGGGCAGTGGGGGAAAGGTCAGATATCAGACATTTTCTGAGGACATGGTCTAAGTTCTAACGGACCGAGTGCAAAACTTTTTTGTTTCAGCGCTGACCTACCATTTTTATCACTTTATTGAAATTCAGGGGGACATAGACCTTATCTGGTCCAGTTAGTGTATAGAGATCAGTGTACAAAAGCCACGGCCATCTTGTTATTTAATGAAATGGGAGCAAGTCGTGCCCTCTGGTTGTAAGCATTCTCACATTCACATTTTACAGGTTCTGAGTGTGACTCTTTCAATAAACGCTGTGAAGATGGTTCGTGCATACCAATATATGACACATGTGGTGAGTTGTCATTTCTACCCCAAGCCCATTGCCTGCGTCCCTCGATTGTAACATAACTTCTCAATTTAATCCTGGACATAGTAAAGAGATCAGGAACTACAAATATCGCTCATAGGGTCTATGTCCCCCAGGGTACTGCCGGAACGTACCCTGGTAACTATCTGATATGGTTAGGGTTATAGGGTTAGGGTTACTTAGGGTTAGGGAGTAGGCGTAGGCGACTCCCTAGACTCGTTAGTGGAGTAGGCGAGGTACGGTCCGGCATATTAGATAGTACCAGGGTACGTTCCGGTATACCGGACCGTACCCAAGGTATGTTCCAGCAGTACCTTGGGGGACATTGACCCTCTCAGCACAAATATCAGTATTAAGGCAGATATGTAATAAGTAAAACAATCCATCTGAACTTATTTCTTAATATGGCGTATATTGGACATGTTTGAATTTTAGACATGCACACTAGCTACTAATAATTTGCATAATATTGTCTTTGCAAGGTAACTATAACACTCCAGAAAATCCAATCAGGTGATATAGATGTTATATATGGAGATTAGTAAGAACTCGTGTATAGCCATGGCCATAACTGAGAGCTGGCTTTCTTGTCATTGCTTGATCTTGTAAATGCTTTTTGCAGCTCATCACCTATCATGCTCTTACGATGAGTTTAAGTGTCCACTAAAGTGTATACCTGACTACTTCAAGTGTAATGGATACGATGACTGCTCGGATGGATCTGATGAGGAAAACTGTTATAATGAAGGTTAGATATCATTCGACGAATGTCAGTCTAAATAGTATTGTCTAATATCTTGCCTGTACAGAATGCAAAGTTTGATTCTACATCAGACTAGTCATGGCTAGGCCTGGGCCAGGCACGCACAAATCCTAGTGAACCGACACAAATTAGTCTGGTTAGAACCAGGCTGAGTTAGTCTGGTTAGAACCAGGCTGAGTTAGTCTGGTTAGAACCAGGCTGAGTTAGTCTGGTTAGGCTACGAATGCTCAGCTTCGCTCGTCGCGTCACACATCAATGATCTGAGAACAACATATGAGCTCTCTGTATTCTGCCTTCAGGTTTTTTTAGCTTCTCTCTACGTGCCTTTGAATGCAGATTAAAATCCAACTTGGAAATTTCCTTGACAAGGCTAGTAAAAATATTCACACTGCTGTTTATAGTTTCCACTATTTTCTAAATTTATTCTTCTGACCAAATTGCAATTAAACTCTTCATGTCGTTGCTTCAACTTACTTCATCTATTTGCACATATATGAGCAATTGGTTTGCACTGTTTAGGTACACTATAAAGGAAAAAAAAGAAAAAATACAAACAATTGCAGATGATTTTTACTTTTACAAATGGCACCTAAATCTATACGGTGCCCATACCATTGTCATTTATTACCATGAAGCTCAGTCCACGCCAGCTCTCAGTGGTGTCAATCATCATTAGCTAGCTCAGATTAGTTTGACGTAGGATCATATTTGCAGTCTGTACAGCATTTAGCAAGATACGTGGCGTGTACAAAACGTGTTCCTGTATATATGTGTTTTAGTGGCATATCACTGAGTTAACTATTAACATGTGCAGACACTACTGTTTACTAATATTTATGTAAAATTAATTGCTTTAATATTCTATAATACCTTGTAATTTCTAGCCCATAAGGTATAATTTTTAACTGTCAAAACTTGTTCTAGCACTACCCCAAATCATGACGACTGCATTTCTTGGTTTGATTTCTCTGCTTGTACAAATTCAGAAGTATTAGAAGTTCAATATATGTCTAATTTTCATTTTAGATACTGAGTATAATTACTCAGTTAGTCGAGGAATTGATATGTGGAAAGTTGCCATCATCATCATAATTGTGATTGCGGTCTTCGTAATCGTCTTCTGTCGCATAATTAGAAGGAACCGTGGACGAGGTAAATGTAGATGTCTTGGACGTTTCATTCTTCCTGGGGCCCGTTGTCAGAAACATCGTAAAGTTAATGCTAAAGTTAATGCTACGATAACACTTACGACTAATGCTAATGTTGCGAGAGGAGCGTTGACAGAAACACATCGCAGCTATTAGAAAACTTACGATAACAGGAACTTCATCACAAGGCTGCTGATTGGATGAGAATCAATCACAAAATTCAAATTCATACACATTTATTGTACATCACAGTAATTTATGCATATTATGATGGCTAACCACATATAAATAATATGAAAAACGACGTGGTCATGAATTTATTCTGCACAACAAGACAAATTCTCACACTGTAACGCGAGACGCGAGAATCGTGGCAAGCGTGGAAAACCTTTAGAACAAGAGAACAAATACCATTTGTAAATGTATTGTTTTGTTTAATTAGCGGTAGATAATTAATGATTTTGACGTGTTTTTCAAGAAAAACACACATTTTATTCATTCTTATAAAATATAATATCACTATAATTGTAATTCGTAGTGTAAATGTGTTATTTTCAACTTAATATTAAAGTTACGAGAGGGTCTGGGCTCTCGTAATGTTAGGAGGAAATTTCCGAGGATTTTTCGTTCTCGTAACCTTACGATGTTTCTGTCAACGGTTTACGAGTGGAAGTTAATGGTAAGACTAATGTTGCGACTAATTTTGTTTCTGACAACGGCCCCCAGATACTTATGTATTTAAAATGCATTTCGGTTGCACTTTTGATATTCGTTGGCAAAATGCTATGTGCCAGCATTTTGTTTGTATGCTCATTGCACTGCTGGGCATGGCCTTGCAACTAGCCATGTACAAGTGAATATGAGCATAAGCGAGTGCAACACATGCCTTTTCCTTGAATGTGAAAACTTAATCCAATTTTCTCCCTATATATTGGCACGATATTTGCAAATCTTTAAAAAACATTTCTCGAATGCATTCCAGACGAAGCCTTGACCAATGTGACTGTGCCACCAGCACATCGTAATTCGAGCTCCAGCAACATGCCTAATTTGACACCGTCGCCACAGCCGACCTCGTTTCAGCAGACTTCTTGGACTGCACATCAGTTCTACGTAGATCATACACCTAATACAGGTGAGCACATTTAGAGAAAAGTGAGATTAGCAGGACTCGTGTGATATGCACCTCAATGTTTCGTATTCGTGTGGACTAGTAGGTTTTGTAATTTGCTAGTCCATGAGCATTTCTATTCGTGGTGCTATTTATCTGGATGTTTGCAATACATGCTAAAACTGTGGTTGTGATTTAGGAGAACCTGCGCGTACGAATCGTGATGTCCCGCCAAGCTACAACGATTGTCATAACACTGATACTCAGCCACCTCTCAACCCCTACCAGCAGCATGCAGCAGACCGAAATTCACTACTAAATCCATCGCCCGCCAGGCAACCTTCTTATGAGGCAGCACCCTCAGCGCCACCTATCCAGGATGACAATGAGCCAGAGCTACCACCTCCTTCCTACGATGATGTAGTGTCGGGGAGACTAGACCATTAGTTATCTGCCCTCCTCTCTCATACCTTGAGAAGACGAGATACGTCAACGTGCAATATAAGTTTTATTCTCACACAGATTTGTAATTCCGTGGCATTGTTATTTATTAGTTTTCCAGTATTATTCTGTTTTGAAATGCCACAACTGGTGGTGGCAAATATTGGCTCCTAAATAGTTGCACCAAATAGCCTCGTTAGACCACAGTGGGTGAAAAAAAACTTTGTGTTGTAAGTGTATAATACTACAATCACATTTGCTAACTGGAACAACTTGAAACATTTCAATATTATCACACCGTCCTAGAGTCACTAATCTAAATAGGTGGTAATAGAAGACTTTGCAAACTGCTGAAGCAAAGACAATAGATATTTTTTTATTTCTTACATCTTGGTACTAGATGAATGAGACAGTGGTTGGACTAGATGTGCGAAAATATGTGGCAAACCTATTCACATATTTGCATTTGATCAGCATGCTTAATATTTTGAAAGACTATTTTTTTTGCAAAATTGCATTGCAGATAGTTCACAATTGACTTGTTGCAGTTATTCCAGGATGGTGACATCTTGTGAAATGTGGAGAATTTTATGGTAACCCTAGTCACGGGTAAATAACATAATGGATTTCGTACCCCATACAGACTGCAAAATTTGATACCAGATCAAACTATTGCGGGCCAGGTGCACGCCAAATTTTTGCAGTGTGTATACGCTATCCCGTGCTAAATACGTGGGGGTCCAGACTCCAGACTAATCTGGCCCAACAAATGGAGGAGGGCCAGGCCCACTTAGCTGTCTGCTGAGTGTCGTAAAAAGCTAAACTGAGCGTCAACCCGTGTCAACTTCGCACGCTTCAGAATTTTGTGTCTGTACGCTGCGATTTAACGCCCGCCTGGTCTTGGCCTGGCCCAGACTAGTTTGATGTGGGATCAAATTTTGCAGTCTGTACGGGATATCAAAGTCTGTATCACTATTAACTGTACAATGACGTGATAAATGTCGTAACAGAGAGATTAAGGTTAGGTCTGTAAATTAGATTTAGCAAGTTGCAACTTGCACTATGGGCTTTGGATTTTGTATATAATAGACCAGAATCCTAAAAAGTACAGTAATTAGATTTTGTTTTTTTGTGGTAATATCTTGAACTTGCATAAAACGTTAGTTTGTGTTAACAGTTGATTTTATATATAACTATATAACGTAACTAGAGCACTCGGAGAGCACAGACCTCCACCAAGGCAGCTCAATTCTCTCACTGTGAAAAATTTAATTAATTAATTAATTAATTAATTAATTGGATCCGGATCACCACCAAAATGTAATCAATTCTAAGTTACCCCATTTCTGACCTATCCTGAAAATTTTATTAATTAATTAATTGGATCCGGATCACCACCAAAATGTCATCAATTCTAAGTTAGCCCATTTCTGACCTATCCTGAAAATTTTATGACAATCCGTCCGTAACTTTTTCAGTTAGTCAAACCCACAAACCCACAAACCAACAAACACACGCCGGTGAAAACATAACCTCCTGCCAACCCCTTGTCGGAGGTAATAACTAATATATGGTCTGATTGATTAATTGGTTGATTGATTGATTGATTGATTGATAGAATGGCAGATGTTATTTGTTGTGCAGGTGACCTATTTGTGTAAAATAACTCGCTGTGATGGATTTCGCATTTCTTCTCATGTCTAGTGAATAACAGTATTAATTCGATTGTATTTATATATTTCACAGTTATTTTAGCCATTTTTTTCTTCTCATTTTTGTTTTATCTTGACTTTTCCTCTAGTTGGAGGATAGCATTGTTCAATAGAGTAGGAGTTTACGCTGTTGAAGTATGTGTACATTGAGGCAGACACGTTTACCTGCAGCTATGAGATCCTCGGTTATCTCTCGATGTATGTATGCACGGTGGACGCGTTTTTGAAATTATGTGAAATCCATTGACACATATTTTTAATTTAGTGTATAGAACTGATAAATTTGGTTGCACTTTTTAAAATATTTTGTAGTATGTGTGTATATAGTGAAATTTTCACAGGTATATAATTGAGTATTGTGATTTTGAGATCAGTCTCGCCCATAGAAATAATATAGATAACTATAGGTTATATATATTATTTCTATGGTCTCGCCACGTAAGCTCCACGTAAAGCATTGATGGTTTTTTAGGTTTTTATTTACGTGAAAATCTTGGTGCAAATCGAGAGTTACCTCAAATGATGAACACGGATGAGAATTTAGTTGTTACTGTAGAGATGGGATATGCAAAAGACTGCTTCGTCTTTGGTGGCATTCCATTATTATTATAGTTGAGAAGATATGTGTCAATAACAAGAGGAATTGTGGATTTTGTGGTAAAAGCACCAAAATTGGTGTATATGATGTTAAGGGGGTAATAAATTATTTCAGATATAATGCCAAGCTGAATTTAGTTGAATCTTGGATTTTTCAATGTTATGGGCGTCACGGATAAAATTCATCTTGGCACTATATCTGAAATTATTTAGTATACTCCCTTAACATCATATACACCAGTTTTTGTGCTTTCAACATAAAATCCACAATTATTTTACATATCTGTCCCACTATTATGGTGGCAGCTCTTTTGAACATTGAGATTGTCAAATCACGTGACTTGGACTGTAGGTATATCCTATAGCTTAGGTTGGGGAAGGAGATGCCAGCATGCCACCATGGCAAATTTGATAAAAAACAACAACAACCAGACTTCGTGCCTGAGCGAGCTGCACAATATGCATGTATTATATGCACGTAATCATCTATTAACTATATAAGATGCACACTATGGTTACACATGTGTCGGGGAATATTGAAGTTTCTATGTGGCATCGCTGCTATTATACGTATTGTGTACAATGTTTTATTATGCATAGCTATGACCGGCTAAGATGAGTCTTGACAGTGGTGGTGTACGGATTATATTCAGCGATATTTTACAGGTGTGCGTCATGTATAATTCTGTAGGCTCGCCGTATGTATCATGTGTCAAACCCCCCTCCGAAACCGTATACAGCGTAGTACTCGCTATACTCGCCATTAGATTATGTACTCATTATACTCTTCAATTTAAGTTGGGAGGGCGCGAATCTATCCGTTTTTGCGGACAAGCAATTAACCCAGAGGCGAGTACCACGTATTTTACTGTGTGAATCCATGTTTGAAGGGATATTGCTTCGATTAATTAGCATCGAACAACTGTATTATATATTATTATTATTGTTAGTATATACAACAATAAATATAGCGCGGTTCTATCAATCATAAATGGTTTACACGAAAAGAACTGTACAAATATTTCTATCTCATTTATAAATGAATATTTCCACGTTAAATTCAATGCTCGGCAATGATTTCTTTGTTGACTTTTCTTGCTGTTAAACGAAGACGTAACACACGCATCAGATCCGAACCACTGAGAAATTGTAAGTTTGGGCGTGTGCGTAACATGTTAGAATAGGACCGTGTTGGCCCGAGTTCAATTCTTGTGAGGTAACTTCGTAAAATATTTTCAAACTCTTGTTGAGTAAAGTAGTTGAGTAACACATAGATTCGTTCTGAACATAAAAGGACTTGTGTATTTGGATGCTCGCGTAACGTGCGGGACCGGTACTCCGTAAGCCCGGGTTCAAATCTTGTCAAGTACTAAGGGAAGATATTTTCGAGATGTTGTTAGGCGAAATATAAACACAAGTTGACCATGACCTTAATCGAGTGATGTAAACATTTTAAAAATAGCTCAAGGATATGGCCTTGAGCTCAAGGCTATGGCCTTGGCCTAGTAATGTAGAAATTTTAAAATTGGAAAATGTAATGGCCTTGAACTCAAGGCCATGGCCTTGAGCTCAAGGCCACGAAAATGTTAGAACTTGGAAAATGTAATGGCCTTGAGCCCAAGGCCATGGCCTTGAACTCAAGGCCACGGAAAGTTTTAGAAATGGGAAAATTGGTCGAGGCCACGGTCAAGGACAATGTCACGGTCAAGGTCCACGCAACAACAACTGCAACTTCTACAACTGCACTCTGCTCTACTGCACTGTACTCTACTATACTGCTCTACTACTCTCCTGCATTCTACTCTGCTCTACTGCACTGTACTCTACTGCTCTGCTACTCTACTACTCTGTACTCTACTCTACTGCTCTAGATCTACTGCTCTACAGTTCTACAGCTACACAGCTCTACTGCTCCACTTTATGTTGCTCTACATGTGGAGTTCGATCCCCACCACCGCAACCAGTGATTCACGGCAATGTACATTTTACTGAATTATGTAAAGCGATTTTAGTAGCTAGTTACCGTCATATAAAAAGCACCTCGAAAATTTTAGTTACAGAATATTTATTAGAAAACATCAAACGTAAACGACGCTTTAGACGTGAGAACACATGTGCAGAAACATGACCCTTGTTTGTAAAAAACTAATTTGCTATTAATCTTTCGTCTTAACGCACAATTTGTTTTACGACCTCTATATTACATGTTTCATTTTCCTGCTGTAATTTTACTAATCTGTACATATAATAAATCTATCTAAAGAGAATACATTTAACTCTTGGTTTACGCGATAATCGGGTTGTTGAGAATGTTCGCGCATATCAGAAATAGGTAAATCGAACCGATTAGGCTAAGGGGGTTAGGTTATTGACGTGATCTCCCTAATATCGTACCAGTGAAAACTACAGTATACGTAGAATGTGTCAAACATTTGGGATATAACATAAAAAGAGGATAAAATCTCTTCTGAGAACACTGCGCGCGTCTTGGTATCAGGAGTGAATGAAAACGAATTATCTATTCGTACTATTTTGTTAATTTTTTGTAATCGCTCATGTCGGTATGTTGAACTGGAGATCGGTAATCACTCAATTGCTACTCGATGATGCCTCAAAAACGTGTCGATTCTCCGGCTCTCCGTTTATCTGGTTACAGCGAGGCGATTGGTACTGGAAAACAAAATTGATCTGCATAAATTTAATGTGAACTTCGACAACAAAATACGAAGGACGAATCAGGTCCACCCCGTCATCACCCGATATATACTACGATAATCAGCCCACTGCAATTAATATGCAATTTTCATGGCGTAAGTTAATGTTCTTAAACGCTATATGTATGTAATGTATATTCTCTACTAGTCTATTTTGTGTGTGCGGACTATATAATTATTTCTCACACTAGATGGCGGGAGGAGCTCGTCGTATCTCTTAAACCAACTCTCGCTCTCTATCTCTATCTCTATTCAGACCGACAAGGCCACTCACTTCTATCAAAGATCATGTACAATTGTACATGATCTTTGCTTCTATGTATGTGTTTGTTCAAAAATGGGGGGGGGTGTCTCCTGCCCCCTGGATCTGTCACTTGTTTGCATGAAATAGAAAGTACAGTAAAACTTGCATAAGTCGACACTTTTGGGACCAGCATATTTGTGTCGACTTAGGAAAATGACGACTTACGCGTAAGTCATCATTTTGTCGATTTATACAATGTATGTAATGCGCGTATACACTGTATTAGCTGTGTGTGTGTGTGTGTGTGTGTGCGTGTGTGCGTGCGTGTGTGTGTGTGTGTGTGTGCGTGCGTGTGTGTGTGTGTGTGCAGGCCCGTCGGAGCCGCTACGGTTGGTACGGGATTGACCGTACCACTTTTCAGCCTAAAAGAAAAGAAGAAAAAAGGAAAAGAAAAAAAGAGAGATGGAAAGGGAGAAGGAGAAGAAAAGAGAAGAGAAAAGGAGAGAGAGAGAGGGAGAAAAAAAGAGAGAAAGTGGGAGGGTGATAAATGTCATGATCATAGGCTGATCGTAGGCTTATCACCAGCTTAATGGAAGAACACGAACATCGAAGTGACTTTGCCTTTTTTCCATTATTATGAAACGCATTATCACATAAACCGATGAACAGCATATATGGCACAAAACTTTTTCATCCAATCGCAAATCTTAAAAATAATATCCTCAAGAAAGTGATAAATTAAGCTCGCCACCTGACCGTGAAACCTCCTATTTATAGGTTAGGGTTAGCAGCTTGACCTCAATTTCTATTTAATGAAGAGTAATTTGTCCTTTTCTGCAGTAC